CTTTGCTCCTGCAAGCAATGTTCATTTTCGACTGAAAACAAAGCGATTAAAAAATTGGCAAGAGAAACTGCTGACAATCAATAAAAGAAATAAAATTCGGTGAAATACTTACAGAGACAACGATTTTCATTTACGAAGACAAGTATTGAGATTAAAGTGTCTCCTGAAAAACCTGAGTCATGTAAGCTTCAGCATATAACAGCCTTGCAGATTTGTGTTATAAGCCGGCTTTCCAGTGTTCGCTATTTTTCGAGATAAACTCGAGGCAAGAAAATCGTTCAAAGCTTTCTTTTTACAAGCAAATTATAACTAGATATTCTTCGGAACGTTTACTTTCTATTTGCGGTCGGAAAATGTCTGTAGGCCTTTTAAAGTTCTGTGAGCTTGTCAAACTTGATACTAGGTAAGATCATTGTCCCAAATTTATCTTACAAACGTGCATAGCCGCATAAACTACGCTCGATTTTGTGAAACCAAAAAAACAAAAGAAAAGAAAGCAACAACAAAAATCAAATAAAATAATTACTCAGGCCTACCAGTCCAGATGCTGCAGCTCTTGAAAGTCAGCAAGTAAGGCCAGCTTTTCAACCCTCTTACAAATCAAGCGAGGTGAACACGATGCCATTAGAAATCGGATTTCCAATGACTTTGACAAGCGGCGTATTCCTCAACCAAAAACCCAATAAACAAACCAGACATGAATAAACAGAAGAATCTTGAAAGCAGCTGTATTTTGCAATGTACATCCAGTGGAAAAAGGCAGTTAAAAAATCACAAGATGACACCAAACTCTGTCAACTTCAGCTATCAGTAAACAAGTTTCCAGTTGCTGCAAAAATTTTCCGCATTAACTCACCTGTCAAATGTTGACCAATCAGGGCATAAAAGGTGGACGTATAGCGTGACCAACGCGTGAGTCAACTGCCTTCCCTACCTGTAAAACTGGCTAAATTTTCACATTCGCGGGTGAGATTGAAATCTAAATTTTATTAGTGCAGCTCGTAAGCACAACTTATTTCCTGTGCATTTAAAAAATTGAACTTGAGCCTGCGATCATTTGAAAACTAGAATCTTGTCAGCGGATACCCTAAAAAGTACTCGACCTCGATGGGTCGATTTCTGAGTCCGCCATAAGGTCAGGTGGCGCTGGTCAGCGGATACCCTGTTTTGACAGCTGTCAATTGATCGTAACATAAATGTACATATCAGGTTGCACCTGGGCTCCTAAACTACTATCTATAGCTAGAAAGTGTGACATTTTAAAACATTGGTTTCTCTGTGGTGCTGACGGACGGTCGGAGGAGGTCGGTGTACCGTCACGTGTTTTCCAAATTTTCTAGGATGGATAGCCGGATGGATAGATTTTCTTAGCTGTGAGGCTCCGCCCACGCGCGCGCGCTTTGCGCCGCGTGGAGCTCCGCTATAAAATGGTCCGGACCTTTTAAAGTAATGGCTGTAGACTGTCCCCTGCCAATTACACGTCGGAAGATGACCAATATAGGAGTTTGATCTGATATAAAAAATGAGTGACAATTACTGGTTTGCACAAAAATAAAAGTTAATAACACTATTACGATGGTAAGGCAGAAATTGTGTAATCCCTTGCTTCGTAAGTGCTAGAACACAAAGTAACAGACCTTCAAATGGCCACGCGTCATGGATCTCAGTCGGTTCAGAGTTAAGGAATCTGATTCGCCACTGCGACAAATCCTACTCCGCCTGCTACACCTGCCGCCAGCAGTGTCAATCGCAAGTAGCAGTAGATATAGTTAGCAACCACAAAAGACTAATGCACCTATCAATGTAAATCCCGTGGGAGGGGGGGCAAGGGGCGGGGATTTGATGCCTGAGACTATCTCCCTGTCGGGCTTTTGATCGTGCGAAGCGACCCCGGGGTCGGGACATTTGACTTTGGCCGACAGAAGCCTGGTATCAATTCAGAAGCGGTTACCAAATCCGTCCCTTGAGGCTTTCTGAAAGTCACGCTGTTGGAGAAAGGTGTGAAGTTTTCATTTGTTTTAAAATTTTAAAATTTTAAAATTTGTCAAATCCCCACCCCTTGCCCGCACTCCTCCTCCCCAACCCCCATCCACGGGATTTACATTGATAGGTTCAGAAGGCCCGGTACTTCCTCTTAGATTTTCACAAACACTTTGCAAGGCTTCGAATCAGGATGAAACAGATTTTTTTATAAGATACTCCTATTTTTGCATTTCTGGCGTTCAGTTTCAGTTCGAAATTCAGCTCTGACTTCGTCTTCGCCTATTCGTGAACGCCATTTGTTTTGCTCATGACAAGGTAAACAACTCATCAAGTTTTCCATTTCACTCTACCAATTTCCCCTTGAATTTGTTTTCTTTGGTTTTAAGATTTCGGGAGTAATATCAACGACTTATGTCACCTTAGAAACTCTGCAAAGACTGATGAATGCATGCAGTGCGAGGCAAACCGAGGCACTTGCTTCAGTCATTTTTTTTTCTAGGTTTGATCCCAATGTCTTGTTTAAACGTAGTCATCATAAACTAGACCCTTAATAGCTAGGTGGGAATTCAACCATGGATATTGCCTCGGTCCTTATTTTTTTCTGGCTACTACCCCGAAATGACGTGTATCAAAAAGGTGCTTAAAATATGGCGTCGTTCAAGGCAATTAGCAGTTTGTTCTTATGATGTGTCAATGTTTAATCAGTGACAAGGATTTTCTGTTACTGTTTTTGTTTTGCTTGAACTTTTGTGAGCTCACTTCAAAATGAAGCATTTTTAAGAAAAACTCCCTCCTCTTCCTTTACTGTGATAGACCTACCATTTAAAAGTACCAGTTCACGAGTACAGCCACTTGCCCGTGGCCTCAGTGTAATGTTGCTCCCGGCATGGCAATGTATACCACCAAACATCAGAAATTTCGGTACTATAAACGACTCTTATTATAAAGGCACACATAAATGTTCGTCGAAGAAAAATGTCCGTATTTTATCAATTATGAATATAAAAGAAATACGTGAAATAGCAAAGTCAGTAAAGTAGACAACAGCTGGTCCGAAAAAACGAGCGTAGAAATCCCATACTGATGACGCGTCACTACTCAGATCTGGATAGAGCTGCTGAATGGTCGTGCCGGGTGGGAAATTTGATTCAACCAATCAGAAGCACTATCCAGATCTGGGTAGTGACGAGTCATCAGTATTGAACTTCTGCGCTCGTTTCTCAGACGTCATTTGGCGGGGAAACCAGTGGTAGTGTCGCCAAGTGTCCGCTGTTCTCTCAGGCTACCATGTAAGGTAATCAGGATACCGGAGTTTGAGAAATTTCTGCATGTAGAATCCGGAGCCATGGGCTTTGGAATCAGCTCGAGTAATTCGGTTTCCCGCTAACGATTGGAATCTCGAATCCAAGTTCTACTAACAATGAATGCGGAATCCAATACCTGGAATCTGGAACTCAGAACATGGAATCCAGAATCTAAGACTGTCTTGGATAATCTTACATGGGGCGACTCAGAGCAAGCTTCATCAGCTGGTTAAGTAGCAGATAAATGATCAAGTGACTAAACCCTATAAAATGTGGAGAGACTCATGGATGGAACTTAGGAGTCTCTTTGCATTACTAAGTGGCTTCAAAAATGCCGTTTGCTGAATTTTCAAACTCACAGTTGCAATTAATTGAAAGACGAAACTGCGTCCCGTTGTGATCAGTACTTTGTAATAAGTTTAAACAAAATCTCAAAGTAATTTAAAGGCCAAATTTACATTTTCCTTAACTATTTTGAAGATTAAGTATCATCTACTATTTTTCGTGGTGAGGAGTTAGTGTTGAACACTAGGTTAGGGGAGGAGCGCAGATTGGTCCCTGTTTTCCAGGCCCTATTCATGGCTAGACTTTAATTATGATAAGACTAGGTAGCTTAAGGTACAAATGTATTCATTGGTCGAGATTTGAGACACTGTCTAGCTACAAAGTTCTGCTATTTCAGACCTGGCCATTATTCGCCTAGCTTGCACGAAAGCATACAGTTACAGTAATTTTGTTACCCACCATCCCTCCCTATGGACGAGTTTTGTTGTGTCTGGTATCAAAAAAGTTTGGGGGGTCACTGCTTGTGGTGCGACTTCCCCCAAGCTTTTGGCATTGCTTGTGTCTTGCCATCTTATTCATTTGCCTTAATCTTGTCCGATCAAGCCCGTGCGGCGCTGGGGAGATAAGAAAGGCTCTGCCAATACTCTTGTCCTACCACACGGTAGTGGGGCCATAAGTGAGGCTTGTGTTTTTGCTGTGCGCATAACCTGAAGTCGCTAGAACCTGCCAGAGGGCTGTGTCCCCCCCTTATTAAGCCATCTTGTAGTAATTGTCTTATTTGCCTGCGTGCGCTATTTAGTTGTGTTACCTTTTCAGGCGTATTTTAAGCGGAATAGTGACATTAAGGCGGGAAAACGTGGTAGCCGTCATCATTCTACAGCAGGTTTTAGCGAGAATGTCACGTAGTGGCGGGAACAAGTTATCAAATGTAAGAAGCTTTATCATTTTACTATCGGGAGAGGGCTGAATCTCCTTCAGAATCTCCCGTAATTACGTAATCTCCCGTAATTACGGACTCACGCTTTTTTATGGCCTAAACGGAGTGGGATCCAGTCAGAAGCGATTCCTTCAGTCTCAGATTAAAGAGAATAGGGAATTCACGAATTGAAGTCTATAAAACGGAGGAAAATCAATCGTATTTAATTAATATATAAGAGCCGTTCATTAAAACGTTTTTAACAGACGCGTTTTTCTTTCATTTGTATTTATTAACCGTTACATCAGCTGTACAGTCTTTCTGTTGAAGTGAGTTATTCTAATTAAGTACTAGGCAATTCATCGTTATGCAAAGGGGTACCTTTTCTGTGAAGATGGTACATACTCACTAGTCTGACAATCAATTTACAATTACTCCTACTTTTCTATTAAACTTAGCACAGGATATCATGGTCATGAACCTCGTTACAATTTACTGGCTTATTGACTTTTCTAGTAAAAGCCGTACACATCGACGCATGACTTGCCATGGTTGTCGGAGTCGTCTTTATTATATAAATCTTCGCCGTACCAGATTCTGAACTCCTGTCCAGCACGAACACCAATTGGGGATGAAAGGCTCAACTCGATTTCAGGGGAATTATGATCAAACCCAGGCAGCTGGTAACATCCATGAATGCCTAAATTTAAATTATTTACAAGACTGACGTTGCTGGCATCAGTCATGTGTGTACAAATTTGACCCTTGTATGACAAGATGCATCCCCAATTTGATCCTTTATCGGCGCTAAGCTTACAAGACACGAAACCTGAGCGATGAGCTAGTTTAAACGCAGAAATCTTTCCCGCCTTATGAATACTGAACTTGCCGTAGGAATCGTCCCTGGCTCCAAAGCACACTTCCTATGTGTTAATCTTGAACCACCCTAAAACCGGAATGAAAAAGAACAACGGCGCATAAAACTCCAAGCTGGTGTTTAAATAGTCAGCTTTCGTAATAGCTTGAGATAGTTATTACTGCTTACCAGGGATAAAGAAACGTTCCATGCTGTATCTCAGACCTCTCAGACACAAATTTCTTATAAGCTATATCTCACACCCTTTTAATATGACGTACCTAGTTTAAGATAATTTTAAAGACCCAAATTGCAGTTAGTCTACAAAACCCTCAAGTCAAGATAAGGCACACTTAAGGTTATGAAAAACAAATCTATTTACATTAGTACAGATGAAATTTTTGGATCACAGTAATGAGATAGAGTCACACTCATAGAAAAAACTATTCTGCATTGTACATGCTCAGCATATACATTTTTTTAATTTGTTTTTTACCCTTTTGTGGGTAAAAATGATAATTAAAACGGAAAGACTAGGAAAACATTTTAAAGCTTTATGAAGTCCTCAGATTCAGGTAATCAACCCCACTGAACCAGCCCTCAGTCTTCAAGTGTTTATGGGAAAATCATAAGCACCTGTAGAGTACGCTAATCTAACGATATTCGTTGAGGAAATTTGGTTTTAAGTCCATGAGAGCCTGGCACAGTTACATTCTTAATGTTCAACATGACAGGGTGTGTCATTAAACTCCAAGAATTCAAGTTCAGACTGAAAGTAAATTTTACCACATATGCCTTAATTGAGGGAATGAAAATGACGTCAACCGATTGGCCTTATATCTTTCGTTGTTTTGCTAAAGCCTGGTTTTCACTAGGGCATAAGTATAAGCACGCGCAGAATGGCATATTTGACTCAATTCTCGATCCACTGAGCTTCAATTTTTTAACTCGGTGATAAACAAAATGGCGGACGCTTCGTCCGCCATATTGCCTTCGATATGTTCGCATGAGGTCTGGGTCAAAGTGGCCTATGATTGGTCCATGGCCTTGTGCTCATGCTATTGCTTATGTCGAACCCGTTTTCGCTAGTCAAAGCTACGACATAAGCATAAGCATGAGCACAAGAAGAACGAACTTGTGCGTTTTTCTTGTGCTTATGCTTATGCTTATGCCGACTCAGTTTTCACTTGCTTACACATGTGCTTGTGCTTGTGCTTGTGCTTATGCTTATGCGCTAGTGATTACCAGGCTTGACCAACATGAGGGCGTAGAGTTCCGGTGGTTACTTCCTATGTTGTCCTTTACAAGGAGGCTCCGGTCAAGATGACTCCCCTTTTCAGGTTTCAGGTATATAAAAGGGAGAGCACAGAACTTGTGAGTATTTGGCTCGGTTTTTCAGTTCTATTTGGCTCTCTACCTACATGTTTTGTATTTTAATTTTTTTTAAAATTAGTTTTCACGTTCGAGTTGAAAAAAATCTGTGCTTATCCCCAACAGAGTCACTGTATTCCAGGCATTTGAAAGGGGTACCATTTTTAAACTGAGGGTGTATGAAAGGGCTACGGTCAAAAGTTCCGAAAGTATGTAAAAGGGTAAGGGGTTTTGGAAATCGGAGCGGAGCCTGCCCACAAACCCGCCTTATTAAAGGTTGTTGAGTAGCCCCTTGAGTAAAGTTCTAAAACTACCATCTTCGATATTCGAAAAAAAAAAAAATCCCATGCATTTCTTGGTGTAGGAGCATGCCCTATTTATAGTTAGTAATGCCGTTTTTTTAATGGAAGAGAGATTTCTGAGCCATTCGCATTGCGTTTTTACATTTTTAAGATCTCCTGATTCGACTATGTTCGAGCAAGCAAAAGGTCGATCGGATGATGACAAAATATAACGTCCAAGTCATTACCTTCACATACGAAGTCATTTTTATCGTACAGTGGGCGACATTGTCCACCATCTTGGCAAGGAGAACTGTCACATGGGCTCTGAAGTGCAAAGAACAACTATATCAGTGCAAAAGTAGGTTATCATAAGCTGCGCATTTGTAACGACTTTCATTAACACTCAAAAGAAAAAGTCTTTTAGCTGACGATAATAAGTGTCGGTTTCATATGTGAGTGTCGTTTTATCTACCAAACTTCTCCTTGTACTTTTCATCAAAAAGATTTATCGAACGGGAAAAGTGTATCGGAATAGAAAGGTCGTGTAGTTAATTCCAGGTGTTTCTAGGCGGTGCAAACTATTTTAGTTTTATCTCACTTTCGTGCATTGAAGTTAATTTATTATAACCACTGGCCCTGGTTGTTCAAACGCTGGAAAGCGTTATCCACCGGATAAATCACTATCCAGCGGATAAGTATTACAGAAACCACTTGCGTTCTCCAGTGGAAAGAGATTTATCCAGTGGATAGCGTTATCCAGCTTTTGAACGACTAGGGCCAGTAAAATAGCTTCATTTATCCTACCGCAATAGTGAAGTGGTGAAACTGATCACTCCGCACGAAGGCAATGGAGTGGTTGTACTTGTCTGTAGATAGCAAATGGCAAACATGAAGTGTGGAGCTGCTGTTCGGCGAAATGTCAAAATTGAATGACAAGCACGTCACGTTAGCAAGGCACTGGAAGGCACAGTCAATGGAGTCGCTGACATTCACGGTGGACAAAACTTGGGAAATATTTAGCAAGTGATTGAGAAATTCCTTGAAGTTCCCAAATTGCAGGTGCTCTTGTTCGCCTCTTTGAAGCTGTCCATTGGAAAATAAACAAAAAACTTTATTATCAAATTAACTGCATTGTATTTATCCATAGCCTCTCAGTTTTACGAAACTTAAAGAAATGAACAAGACTTTGTTAATAACAGTCTCGAAGTTCGCCTCTTTGAAGCTGTTCATTGGAAAATGAAAATAACTAATTTTATTATATAATTGCATTGTAGTTATTCTTAGCCTCTGCCAAACTTGAAGTAATGAACAAGACTTTCTTAATGATATTCTCGAAATTTTTGCGAAATTGTGGAATATTTAATGATCACGAAATTCCATATAAATACCTTTAGAACTGGCAGTTATATTAATAAATGAAGTTTGTTTAGGTTAGTTTTATGTGGAGGATTTTAATTGCGTTCGAGGTACGAGAACGCAACCCCTAATTTGTGTTGGGTGTTCTGTGCAGTATTGGATGTCCTGTGCAATCAATAAGGGAGGTTCTCTCGAGTTTGCATTTGTGTCGACACACATGTGCCTCGGTTCGAGGCGATTGTTTACGTTTTGCCTCACTTTGACGCGCTAACTCATGCGGTGATTCGTGTGTCCTCGGCGTTCATCTTCTAAACGTTTGCTGAGGTGTGCTATTTCTCTTCGTAGGCGTACATATTTCAAGAGTTTGCTGAATCTGTGGTTGTTGAATCTGCCAAAGCGTTCAGTTCAACACCCTGAGTAAAGTTTTACTTTGGATTATGCCTTCATATTTTCCGGCATGGTTCGTCACTGTCTTTGGAAACTGTTTGTGACTCCTGGTGCATGCATCAATGAAACCGGGTTGTTTAGCTCGGCGGCCGTTGTGCCACAAAGTAAATATCCGAGTTGTGTAACTCGGCGGCCATTCGGTGTCACACAAAGTAAATCTGCTGAGTTAATAGCTCGGCGGCCGTTGCGCCATAAAGTAAATCTACCGAGTTGTGCAGCTCGGCGGCGCCATTTCATCATGACTCGTGATTTCTTCGGCACCGGACAAACGAACATTTAGCTCTATGTTATTTATTCGAAAAAACTTATAAACCAGCCTACAGTAGCGCCACTCAAGTCACTGAAATCAACACACTCGACCAAATTAATGAAAAAGTTATATTGACGTGAGCACACACATTCCACTGGAGGCTTTGATGATTCCCTTGAAACGTGTGCGAGGTGTAGTTTAAGTGAACCATTGTTCAAATACAATTCATTGTGCTCCAGCGTGGTGTTGGGTCTTGAATATAAACACAAGTTAAGAAGACTAACCAGTGAACGGTTTCATTTTATAGTACATTTCAGTAATTGTCTACATGAGGAAGTTTGCCGACATTCGAACTAGAATACTCCATAGCGTGTTTATAGGTGAAGCACCTGCGGCTCTTTCATACTTGAGGAATAAACCCGGGCCCTCATGCACTACATTAACAACTTCAGAGGGATTAATAACATAATCGTCCCGCGATTAAACTCGCAGTTTCTTAAAAACTCTATTAGTTATGGAAGCGCTATTCTTTGGAAAGCTGTCTCGACTCACTTTACAGACCAGTTTACTGTTTTTTTTACTCGCAAAGTGAAGAAGGACTCTTATTTTAAGGAACTTGATTTTAGCGCCCAGTTGGTCCAGTCGCTGCCCACGCACCACCAAGATTTTAAATGTTTTTAACTATTTTATGTTTTAGATGCTGTAGTCAATTTACTTAGAGGTAACTAATGTAAATTCATTTTAAACTTGTATTTTTTTGTTAGAATCTTACTGTATATTTTTAGAGTTTTTATTGTAGTTGTATTATGTAAGTAATATTATTCTTATTTTTTGTATATTTTTATCCATTTGTAATTATTTTTACACGACCCCACAAGCTTCGAGGTTTAAATCATATCGTGTTTAAATGATATGTATGTACGTATGTATGTATTGGATGATCTTATTCCCAACAGATAAATTAATGATTACATCTAAAACGTTGTCAACCGTTTGCTTTTTAACAGTACCTGGCCCGGGTTCTTCGAAGCTGGTTAAGATGACCCAGGGTTAGTGCGAAATTTGAATTCAGAAGTGACAGCTTAAAAAGTAAATCCAGTTTAACTCATTCCGTCAACAAGTTGATGATTGGATGTTGTTAAAAATAGCGGAGAACATTATCCGAAGAAATGATTTTGAACAAAAGAAAAAGAAACCCGGGTTAAGCGCTAATCAGGCCTTCGAACAACTGCGCTCTCTGGCCAGTGTCTCTTTAAATTACAAGCACTTGAGACGAGCCATACGATATCACAATTAAAGCCTCCAAAACCTTTTCATAATGATACAGTTTAAATAGAGGTTTCGCTTTACGAAATCCTTACGTTCAAAATGTGCCATAATCATATTTATCTGTTTCAAGAACCATCCACTCTTCTCCCTCAACTGCTACCTGTGCGCCTAACAAACATATCGAACGAACTCTCCTAAGCTCCGATTACTTCTAGTTATAAAATCATCTCTAATAATGGTTACTGGGGCACCTGTTCCTGTTATTGTTCAAACACAAGAGAAAATGAGTCAAACACTTGGTCTATTTTCTTGGCTATTTATCTTTAATACACGTTTCCTTCACAAACATCCTTAGCGAAACTGTTGCACATGCTTTTACCAAAGCAAAAGCGCCTGACAGCGGCCGCGCCGTTGAAAGTTGTTCTGTTTTTCTTTCTTTTTTTTTTCTAAAATTTTCTGTTTACAAATTTTAAATTGAAGTTTTATTGCAGATGATATAATACGTACCCTGTATAGTCCACAATCACACATGTAAATAGTTGAAAAAAAAATGTGTATCTATAACGGCTTCGAAAGCAACCTCATGCTAGACTATTCTAGCTCGGTTTCCAGATCCCAGGCTTGATCAGGGCTTACAAGTGCCTCAGTGGTGGAACAACATACAGGCCATCGATCGAAGAAGAGTGTTTATTTTTAATACTATACTTAAACCAACAAAATCTACAATATTCTCCAGTCCTTCCTCACAGTAATACGTTTTGAAAATTCACAAACATTCAACGCAGAATTCAAAAGGACTCACTAGCTCGAGACTGCTTCAAAGATTTCTGTTGAATTTTCTTTGCACACCCTGATTATATCAAAAAAACCTGAAACCAGAAATTTTAGGTAAAACCGGTAACAGCAGAATTTTTCACTGGACAAAAACACATAATTATACACGTTATGTCATTGTTGAAATCGACTTCCTTTAACAATTGGTAAATCTAGCTATCTATGAGCAGGTATCCCTGAGTTTCGCAGCCTTTAAACCAAAACAGCTACGAGCTAGAGACCGAGGATTGTGGTAGATCGCTGCTACAACGGAACCACCTCAAAGAACCTTTTTGGTTTTGTTTTGTTTTTTTGTCCGTCTCTTTTTGGCTAAAAAAAACTAAGTCAGTATTAAGGCATAAAATGTTTGGCCTAGAGGCGTATATTTCTTTCATCAAAATTAAACAGGAAGAATAATAAACTAAATTCTAAAACAAATTCAGGGCTCTTTTTGATTGAAACGTTTAGTGGCCCTTTACAGTCCGGAATTCATCCGACTTCTGTTAGTTGCACATATAAAGCACTTGTATTGACTATTTATCTTTTCGGTTTTCACAAACGATAGCTCACCTGCGCATTATATTTTGCGATGTGGGTAAATGCAATAAAAGTAAGAACGATCCAAACCATTGCTACCTTCCGCGACATTTCCTTGGAATAATTCAAACGTTAGCACCTGAGCTTTTCAGAATTGGAATCGGGCACATTTAAGGCGTGAAAGAACTTGATATAGCACCAAAAGTCCCTGAAATTGGATCCGCGTGTGCCTTTAGTTTAAGGTTACGTTAAACAGGAACTTCAAACAAGAGCTCCATGCTGCGTTGAATTATTACCAAGGAAGAAGCAGTTATGTTAGTAGGAAATCGTGAAGGTAGCAAAAAAATCGCAAATTTTGTAAACTACTACGGAACCTGCTAGACACTGTTTTCGCTGCCTCCAATCAAATGTAATCTACCAAGCCACTGTAACCACAGCGACGACAACTGAAACTTACGTCGGACTGGCAACAAACTTTAAGAAACGTTATAGGAACCATCAGTCCTCCTTTTGACACTCGAACAGAAGAAATGTAACGGAACTCTCGAAATATATTTGGACTTTACAAGACTCTAAGAAACCTTTCCAGATAAAATGGAAAGTTTTAAAGAAATGTAAAGCCTATAGCAACATTGGCAAAAAATGTAATCTTTGTCTTTATGAAAAGTTCATCATCATTTGTAAAAAAGAGCCATGTAGCCTAAACAGGCGAAACAAACTAGCGAGTTCATGCCGCCACAGAAACAGATATGTACTTCGATCATAAATCTAGAGTAACGTAACTAAGACACAACACAATCCATCTGTTACCTAGATATTATCTCTTAACGCATCCCTATCTTTTACTGCCAGCTTTTAATTTTAACGGTCAATCGTTGAAGTTGCCTGATGAGTGTGGTCCTTCAATTTCGGATCATACAAAACAGCACTGTTGCAATAAACGATCAATGATTACTCCTGAATCCTAAACTCCTGTGATTATTAATAGTCAATGCTCTTCAATTAAATGAATTGAGCGCTCTACGACATACGTTCTACCCAGAATACAAGTATGTATGTATGTATGTATGTGTGTATTCCCAACAGATAAAATTAATGATTACAACTAAAACGTTGTCAACCGTTTGCTTTTTAACAATACCGGGCCCGGGTTGTTCGAAGCTGGTTAAGATAACCCAGGGTTAGTGCGAAATTTGCATTCAGAAGTGAAAGCTTAAAAAGTAAATCCAGTTTAACTCATTTCGTCGACAATTTGATAATTGGATGTTGTTAGAAATAGCAGAGAAAATTATCCGAAGAAATGGTTTTGAACAAAAGAAAAAGAAACCCGGGTTAAGCGCTAATCAGGCCTTCGAACAACTGCGCCCTCTCGCCAGTGTCTTCAAATTACAAGCACTTGAGACAAGCCATACGATATCGCGATTAAAGCCTTCAAAACCTTTTCATAATGAGACACAGTTTTGATAGAGGTTTTGCCCTGCGCCATCCTTACGTTCAAAATATGCCATAATTATATTTATCGGTCTCAAGAACCATCCACTCTTCTCCCTCAACTGCTACCAGCTGTATGCCTAACAAACATATCGAACGCACTCTCCTAAGCTCCGATTACTTCTAGTTATAAAATCATCTCTAATAATGGTTACTGGGGCACCTGTTCCTGTTATTGTTCAAACACAAGAGAAAATGAGTCAAACACTTGGTCTATTTTCTTAGCTATTTATCGTTAATACACGTTTCCTTCACAAACTTCCTTAGCGAAACTGTTGCGCATGCTTTTACCAAAGCAAAAGAGTTTGACAGCGGCCGCGCCGTTAAAAGTTGTTCTGTTTTTTTTTTTTTTGGTTTGTTTGTTTTTCCTCTGTTTGTTTTTTTTTTTTTTTAATTTTCCTGTTTAAAAATTTTCCATTGAAGTTTTATTGCAGATGATATAATACATACCCTGTATAGTCCACATCACACATGTAAATGGTTGAAAAAAATGTGTATCTATAACGGCTTCGAAGGCAACCTCGTGCTAGACGATTCTAGCTCAGTTTCCAGATCCCAGGTCTAATCAGGGCTTACAAGTGTCTTAGTGGTGGGGCAACATACAGGCCATCGATCGAAGAAGAGTGTTTATTTTTAATACTTAAACTAACAAAATCTAGTTCTCGAGTCCTTTCTCAGAGTAACACATTTTGAAAATTCACAAACATTCAACGCTGAATTCAGAAGGACTCACTAGCTCGAGACTGCTTCAAAGATTTCTGTTGAATTTTCCTGGCACAGAAATTTTACGTAAAACGTAACAGCAGAATTTTTCACTGGACACGATTTGATTGAAAAAGTGGGGTCTGCTGAAAACATATAATTATACATGTTATATCATTCTTGAAATCGACTTCCTTTAATAATTGCTAAATCTAGCTATCTATCAGCAGGTATCTCTAAGTTTCGCAGCCTTTAAACCAGAACAGCTACGAGCTAGAGACCGAGGATTGTGGCAGATCGCTGCTACGACGGAACCACCTCAAGGAATCTTTTTGGTTTTGTTTTTGTTTTTTTGTCCGTCTCTTTTTGGCTAAAAAAAACTAAGTCAGTATTAAGGCATAAAACGTTTGGCCTAGAGGCGTATATTTCTTCCATCAAAATTAAACAGGAAGAATAATAAACTAAAGGCTAAAAAACGTTCAGGGTTTTTTTTTTCATTGAAACGTTTAGTGGTTCTTTAAAGTCTGGAATTTATCCGACTTCTGTTAGTTGCACATATAAAGCACTTGTATTGACTATTTATCTTTTCAGTTTTTCACGAACGATAGCTCACCTGCGCATTATATTTTGCGATGTGGATAAATGTAATAAAAGTAAGAACGATCCAAGCCATTGCTACCTTCAGCGACATTTCCTTGGAGGAATTCCAACGTTAGCACCTGAGTTTTTCAGAATTGGAATCGGGCACATTTAAGGCGTGAAAGAACTTGATATAGCACCAAAAGTCCCGGAAATTGGATCCCGCGTATGCCTTTAGTTTAGGGTTACGTTAAACAGGAACTTCAAACAAGAGCTTCATGCTGCGTTGAATTATTTATTATCAAGAAAGAAGCAGTTATGTTAATAGGAAATCGTCAAGGTAGCAAAAAAATCGCAAATTTTGTAAACTACTTCAGAACCTGCTAGACGCTGTTTTCGACAAGAACAATTTTAAAAACTATATTTGCTCGCAAATAAAAAAATGTATACAGTGGTTCGTCCACTTATTAAAGTTTTCCAGAATCCTCGAACAAGTTGGGGGCGTGGAATCTTTTGAAATTTGAAGCGGACATGATGCACACAACTCAATGTTCTACTTGCATAATGGAAGACGCGTTCTTGATCTCTGTGAAAAAAAAAAAAAATTATCAACCCGACGTTTCCCAAATTCCCGCCTTTTTGTGTCATAGTTGTTTGATGACGCTGTCGCAAACAAACCATATTTGATGAAAAAATGATTTTGTTTGTTATGTCGTAACTACACAGACAAGCCGACAGGTGAGAGTTAGCCTTGTAAAATGAAAAGTTGTACTGTCATTTATATTGGTTACCCTGAATTTAATCCACGAACTATTTGGGACAGATTCATTTTGCTCGTTGGAATAATACGAAAAATTTTATTATCTTTAAAATTTAACACAACTAAAACTTCCATCAGGCATATTGCGACAACTTTTCACATAATATGCTGTAAATGAGAAATGAATATCCAGCGTGCATTAATAACGTCTTAGTTTTGCTTTGCCTTATTTTCCTCACTTATATGTGTTGTCCGCGACATTGCTCACACGGTGGGTGGCTCCTCCTAAAATGTTCTGCAATTGATATAGGATTTAATGGAGCCGAAACCAATTGTGGAATTGCACGCATTTTAGGCATCCTACCGATGAACAGTTGGGACACGTAGATATATTTTTAGCAACTACTATAATTTACAGTCTGTCTACTTTGAATTGCTAACATCTGTTTTTCTCCATCAGTAATTTTGCGCATAAGTTTGGAGGGAGAGGAGGTTGGGGAGTAGCATTTATTAAGGTGTTTCGATACAGTTTTTCGGAGCATACCATACCAATATTTTTCTATCGCTTTGAAGGGGATTTTATCCTTGTCCAATCGCTATAAAAGTTTCGCCAGTGATTGACTATGGATTGAAGTCTGTCAAAGTATAGTTTGAATGAAATCGATATTACTATGACAACAGTAAACAAAATTACTGGAAATTGATAAAAGGCGAATTTTGCGCAATCTAGACCTGCTACTAAAAATCCAACACTAGGAACTTATAAAGTTTGGTGTTTAGCAAATAACCTCCTTGAGAAGTAAAAAATTCTGTATGTTTGAATTAAAATAAAACGTAAGGATACAGCTATTTCGAGAAAGGTTGTCGGAAAAAGTGCACGCGACAATCCCGAAAGGTATTGTGGGTGGTTTTGAATTAACTGTTTTTCAAAGAAGCTTGAAAGAATGACACGAGAGGCCATGGACGTATGTTTTCGAGTGCTAAAAGAAAGAAACAAAAGTAGGGTCGACAGCTACAGTGTAAGGAACAGTGTATTGATCATATCCCATATTACCTTTCAGGATTGTCGCGTGCACATTTTTTCCGACAACCTTTCTCGAAATAGCTGTATTTCAAACCTCGTATATATTTTCAATAGCCGTGATAAATTGTTTAATAAAAAAAGTTCTAAATAACTTAAGTTAACCTTAAGTAGCGTCGGGATGCTGCTTAATATCATATTTCGATGCTCGGAAAGTTTGGTATATTTTCGTTCTTGCGATCTTGAAAACCAACCTGCTTTCTCACCACCCGTCTAAGCGCAACTTTATTCTAAATCTTGACTTTCAACGCTTTTTTTGTTTATCTCTGAAACCACTTGAACGAATTTTTTTAAAATCAAATCTCTTAATCTTCATAATGTATGTAATAATGTCTGAAACTTTCATTAAGATTGATTCACTTTAACACCTTGAAATGTCAAGACGACCTAGCCTACGAACCGGGCAAAAATCTGCGTCACTGTTTTGACGTTATACTAATGTTTGTTAATTAATGGGCACGGTACATACCTCCATGACTTGTACATTTCGCAAAAGAAAAACATGAAGCTTAATTTTTTTTACGAAATATTCTGTCGCACTGAAATCTACCACTCAGAGCTGGGTTAAAATTAGTTTATGTAATTGCATCTACAAAGACAGAAAGTGACAGAAAATGCTGAAATTCAGTTTCAATGCACGGAACAAAAAGAAACGCTAGAAAACTCTGAAACTGTAACACAAACCCAGGAGCCTTAAAATCACAATCGTTCACACTGAAACCTTGAAACTTAGGGTAATCCCATACATTATCTAAAGAAGAATGCTTGAGAGAGCAAACTTTCTGTTCCTTTTACTCATGATCTTAATAAGCACAATTTATACAGCGGGATACACTTAAACTAACCATACGGAAATCAATGTTATTGATGCACATGTCGATGTTGGTACTACTCATGGACAGTGGCTTAAAACCAGTATATGCAGTTTTGTTCAGTTGTAAATAAGTCTTCCTGTTCCCGGGCTGTCGGAAATAACCTTTTAAATTACAAATAACAGCGGTAGTCAAGTGACTTTTTCGGCGCGAAAATACCTTCCACTTTGCTGGAGGGGGGGGCTTGGGGGGAGGTTGACTTCCTTGTTTTAAGCCCTTTTTGGAATACACATATTTTTCGAGATTAGCAAAGGTCTTTAGTAGGATATTACAATCATTTTTTTTTATGTTTTTTCTTTCATTAGGATTTAATTATTTATTTTTTTAACCTCTTGAATTTTTATCCCGTTACTCGTTTTCTCGTTACTCCGTTACTCGTTACTCGTTACTACGTTACTCTGTTTAGTAACACCCGATTTAGTCCTCCTTTTTTCCTCACCAAAAGATAAAGATCAACTCAAAATAATACTGACCTGGGGTTCATCAGATCGTATCAAATTTCCATTACCGTCTGTTGTACTGTCGCAATTTGTAATAATCATCGCACTTTGTAATACCTGTCCAATTTGTAATAAACCGTGTCGCACTTTGTAATAAAAAAGCTGTCGCAATTTGTAATAACAGTCCATCGCACTTTGTAATAAACTAAGCTGTTGCAATTTGTAATAATTCCATCGCACTTTGCAATAATTTTTTGAGAGTGATTCAACTTACTTCGTCAACATTAATATATTGCCAAAATATGCATGGTACTTCATAAACAAAGATGATGACGTCTGCTAGCATGTAACATGTTCGTGATATTTTCTTGGTCAAACATGCATGTCTTCCTCTATAAATTTTTCTGCCTTGATTAATCAGGTGACTAACTAGAAACGCTTTTATGAAAGACATGAAACTTCCTGTGACATATCACCAAAAAGATATGAATCACGTTTAAATTCAAAAATATTTAAATAAGAAAGGCAATATTTAACAACAGAAAATTCAAGAATAACCTGACATTCGTCGTCCAAATCCATGTTTGCTTTCCACGTGACACGTGAAGTCTTCGGCGGGGGGGGGTGATAATCTCATATATGGATGTGATAGATAGGTAAGTACCGCCTGATAGGGTATGGTTTTTGAGGATCTCGAGCCTTTAATAGGGTATCATTTTTTACGTTGTTGGCCTTGTGTCTTTGGTTTGATCCTTAGATAGGGTAACTCAAGTAGTAATGGATGGCTTATTCCATCCTTTCCATTTAGTAGAAAAACAGTAATCCAGAACACGCTCGGAAGAATTGCAAGGTCTTACGAGCTGTATATACGCAGAGAAGGATAATTTTTTACCATCCCCATGGTATTTGCTTTAGAGGACTCCTTACAGAAAACAATTGTTTTAAGATGGAATGAGTACTCCTTTTGTTCCTATATGGGACCAAACCAAGTGAGAATAATGGACCAAATGCCCAGCCGGCTCAGTGTAAGACCCCAAGTGAGTGTTATAAAAACAGGTACATACGAAGGTATTGGCCAGCGACTAATTGGATTTTGTGTTTAGGTTTCTGTTGTGGTTCGAAGGTTTGCCACTAGTGACGTGTTTTTTTATTTATAGTAAACATTTTGAATCTTTCCAGGCCTCGTTTGATTAAGTTGGCCAAAATATGGAAGCCACTATTACTTCTTTAAGATTGCTCGTTAGACAAGAACGGTGTACCACGTGATGTGTCAACCTGTTATAAGATCTAACAAGGAAAGCTTGAACTCTCCTGGTGTCCTTATTCGAATGATGTAGGATGGATGCTACGATAAGCGGAAATTAAATGCTCTTTAATAATGGCTTGTTTGTGTCTAGTGTGTCTAGCTCTGTCTAGATCCTCTACTCTGGCAATGCTCTGTCCAGAGGCACATCCCCGTATTGGCCATATAAGGAAGTACACCCGCCGGGTAACCATTGAATGCAAGCCACCTAGTACAATAGCAAGGTTCAAGAATACAGCATTTCGTAAGTCAGATAACTAATCAACATTAATCTATAAAAATGTTTAGGACTGTGAATAAAGTTAAATGTTTGAATGAGCGAAGATGTTACGTGCTAGCAGACGTCATCTCCATCTTTGTTTATGAAGTACCATGCATATTTTGGGAGGTTAAGTAGCTCACTTACAGGAGATAATTTGCAAGCAATATTTATCACAACGCTCAGAGAACTGATTTTTATAGACAGATGGGGGTCATTCTTGATGCCAGACACGAGTTGTTCTTGACCAGTTTGTTCATTCAGTTGTTTTATAATAATTATTTGCGTGGCGGAATTGGATCAATGTTGAAGAGGTCCGCGCGAGAGAAGGATAAGGGTAACTCCGCGTGCACTTTATTATCCCTATACGCATATACTT